TGTGGTATATAAAGTACTATGTTGGGAACAATTCCAAATTCACATTAATTCACATGAATCTAACAAACTCCTGCTTATATTTTCTATGAAACCATCTCCGCCAGTGGTGAAACACTATTTCCCTGTAAGCTCCCTGTTTTTACTGCCAACTATTCTCAATTAGTCACAGCAGTCACGTCATCCAGTGATGACACGGTATCAAATCCGAACCGCATTTCGGAGATAAACTGAAGTGGTGCCTGGTACATAAAACAACAAAAAAAATGTTTGAGGGCAGAGTGAAAATAGCGAAGAAAGATAAACCGCTGAATGAACTTAACAGCTACATAGCACAACTGAGATAGTTAGATTTCAGAAACATTATTCTTGATAACAAGTCCTAAATTTAAAGCTTTAAGAAGTTGAGACGAGATTTCTACTCTCGCCGCAGATCCTCCTCCATCACTCCCTCCCAAAGCACGGCTGCTCTGTCCACCTTCTCTGCTGTCATCTGGAACATCTAAGCGGTCGAGGACCTCTGCTCTTCCTCCTGCCCTCTTTACACAGTTCCTACTGCATTTTAAAAAAACTAAAGTGAGCGCCTCTGTAATCTGGAACTTTGCCCAGACCTCTAAAATGTGCAATAGTGCAATATTAAAACAGAAAAGTCTACACCCCTCTATAATTTTTAATTACCATTCAATCTCCAATAAGCCATTCCTTAGTAAATTATTAAAAATGTTTGCGAGCATAATCGGTGGAGCATCTGACTCAGCAACCTCCATGATGCATTTCAATTCACTCTTCCACACTAACTGTATTACTGAAACAACTCCCCTCGATGTAATCAAAGATAAAAGCAATAATGGCAACAGTTATATATTTGTGCCAGTAGATTTAGGTGGAATGTTTGATACCACAGACCAGAAGATTTCGATTCAGAGGCTTCTAAATTAATGATCATTTTCTGTGTCACTTCAGAACATCTTCTCTGAACAATCTGACACCATGGAGTCCCCCAGGGCTCAGTACCAAGTCCACTACTCTTCGTTTTCAGACCTCTTCTTTGCCATATGATACATAAACCCAGGATATACTACTACCACCTGTCAAATCCCTGGTTGAAATAAACACAAACACTTGAATGTTCAGCATCTTCCTAAGGTTAGTTGGTGGTAATCCTCTGCAGCTGGAAATATGTTCTCATATGGTCTTTATTGTTTCAGGCTTCAACATCTGATTTCTATCATAGTATACATCCAAAGTAAGAGGCTCCTTGTCTCAGGCAGATGCAGACAAACTTATACATGTATTTATATCTTGCTGGTGGGACTGTTGCACTACTCTTCTGATTGGTCTAGATAAAAAGAGGATTTTGGCAGCAACATTTTGGCGCAGCTCTAACAAGCGAGAACAAAGTTTGATCACATCACACATGTTGTAAGATCTTTGGATTTGCTTCTGATCAATACATGTGAGAAATCAATCTTCTCATCTAATTTTCAGCAACATAGCGAGTATGCATATTTCTCAAAACTGAAAACTAGTCCTGAAACAATATCCAACCTGATGTGAAGGCTCTTTGCTTTTATCTGTGAGACTGTTGCCAGGGTGAGTTTTACATCCTGAGCCTAAAAAAATTGTCCTGTCAACTCTTGTCTAAACAAAGATTACGGTATATTTAACAGCTCGTGGCTGTAACTAAATCCTGATTATGGCCAGTGGCGGAAAAATCGCTGACATACTGTTCCTTGTGTATTTGAAACATGATTTAATTTCTTGTTTTAGTTTGCAAGTGTTTCATGAAAATATCAGATATGAATCTGCAGTTCTCATGAGAAAGTATTTGAATGTTTAAAAGTTCATGTCAATGTCCAATCTAAAATGTTTCTGCTTTTTCATTTGTCATTGACTGTATCAGCTATCCCACTGGTTTGCTCTTTTTCCTGTGACTGCTCGAGCAGAGAGCGAATGACAATCTATTAAAACTGACGTTTTCAGGTCCGCTAAGAATTTAAACAAAGGACATTATGCGTGTGGTGGCGTTATAGGCGAGGAGCACTGGCTATGAAGGCTTTTGAAGTGTGACATTAATAACTTAGACGCACATTTACCTGACTTTGATGGAAGGGGGCAAAGGAGCTGATATTTGTTGCATGTAGGTGGCGGGCCGATGAGATTGATGCCGCTGTTGTATCATAAATGCCTGAGTATTATATGTGTATAATGGTGTTGATGTGACTGCATCAAACCTGAATAAAGTAGTATTTGCATAATTAGCTGCGGGCCTCGTTCCCAGTGTTTTTATCGGTTTGCCTCACCAGATGGCTGCGGTTTACTGCATAAAGATCATTCATATAGTGTCTCGTAAGTTGTCAGTCAAAGAAACATACTCATTTTCTCCCTCATGCTTTATTGTCTGCGTGACAGCTTCAAGTCTTTACTGTTTATTACAGTTTCCCATGTGAAAAGTCCATCACAGCTGGTGTCTAAGACAGGGTTACACAAACTGAAAAGAAGAATGTTTTCAAACATTATTTGACCCAACACTCACTCTTGGTTGCGTGAGCTTGAAGACGCATGGCTGATAGCTCGTTAGAGAGAGCGTGGAGGTCAGAGTGAAAAACGTTGCACTCATCACCTGCCCGATGACAAATGAACCCGCTCATGAGGAAGGGAGGAGATGAAAGGGAGAAAAGATAGTCTCAGAAAGAGTCGAGTCGACACATAGAGGAGTGGCAGTGGCCATGGTGGAGATGGATGCAAGCCAGAGAGAGAACAAGACAGAGGGAGTTACTTTTGTTATTGTCTCTTCTGGTGCCTTAACATCTTTCATTTTTACACATTATGAAGTTTCTTTTGTTTCACCTGTGTTTTCAGAATTTACAACGAGGGACCAAACATCCCTCCGAGGTATGGTTTGTCTCTCTGATTAATGGAACCACTCCACATAGGCAGAGGGACACTTAAGGGGATTCATTCACACAGGGAAATTGATTACCTTTAACTAGAAAACAATGGAGAATGAGGAAGTGTAATGACTGGGCACCTGTTTCACTTCATGATCATTACAGGGGCCAGAAAAAGCAATCAACATGTTTTGTAAAACTCTGGTATTAAGGCTCTAATAAGTGAGTGTAAAACATCACTAAAAACACTCATTTGCTCCTTGAAAGACTGATTACCCTGCAGCACAGAAAGAGATGAAACATTAATATACCGTCTCGATTTGCAGGCAGCAATTATTTTTTACTCAAACTTGCCAGTTGCCAAACACTGTAAAGTATTTGTGAATCTGAAGTGAAGCCATTTGCCAAAAGTGTTTTGACAATTAATCAGTAATTAGTGATCAATTTGTACCCTGCCATACCCTATAGAAAAACAACCAGCGACCCATTCTCTCATTTCCTCACCACTATCAATTAGATTTAGGCTTTACGGCCTCAGATTAAACCAACTCTTCATTTCACCACACCATTAGATTCATCCGCTCTGCTAATGGGCCCTGTGATGAGCTATTGATCAACAGCACGTGTGTCAGGAAATAAGAGAGAAGTTCACCAAACAAAATGCAACAAAAAAAGAAACTAATCTGCTCTGTAGGATTTTCAGACTGTGTTTAATGGACTTATTCCTTACACATTTTTCATTTCCAATAATCAGGATTGACTTTTCACTAAGCCCC